TGGACATTTTTTTCTCACTTCTTCAAATTCTAATTAAAAAAAAAAAACAATACGTAAATTATCCTTCTAAATATTTTTTCAATTATTCTTCTTATTTTTTCTATACATGCGGAAAGATTATACAAGAGAAAGAAAACATACATATATATATATATATATATATGGACACGTATTTTATATAATTATATATATTTATTATATATGGACTTTTTTAGTACAAGTATTAGTATGTGTTTTCAATGTTGCAGCCACTATTGAATAACTGTGTCATGTTGTATTACTTTTTATATGCATTCCAAGAATAATACGGATTTTTTCTCAAGTATGCAAGAAAGCGATTTATATTGCTAATGAGATGTAGATAAATATTTGAATTAAATATCGATGTATTTATCATGAAATAAAGTTTTGAGAAAAAACTTAAAATATATATATTATGTTTTCTTTTATTTGAGAAATGCCGTATTTATATCTTTATATAAAAAGCGTCATATCTTATATTTTACTTAGGAATACCTTTGTCCTCCAAAGTTATGAACGAAGAAAACGAGACAAATTACGAAATTAAAAAAGATACTTTGCGACTAGTCACAGTGGTATGTATATGCATTAGAGAGATTCACATACAAACAAATTTTTATACTCTTAAAAATTGTTGAAAAACTTACAGTTCAACTTCTAATGTTCAAAAATTTCAGAACTCTAATATAATTAGTATTTATTAATCATAATATAGTATTAATTTTTATCTCTATAAATATCTTTATAATTCGGTGCACAAGAGATGGGAATTTTAGTAATACATAAATAAAAACTTGAAAACGGTGCTAAAATTTAAGATAAATGATATTATCTTTTGCATATATTTCTGCCATCAATTTTTGTTTTTTATTTTGGAGTATGTAGTCTCGTCCTTAATCCTTATTTCATTTTTCAAATAATAATCATCCTTATTTGTAACTAATATAATTATATCATTATTTCAATCATTATGATCATTTTAACATAAATGACACTTTTATATCATTAGTAAATCAATATAATAGTATTAATAATAAATTGATAGATTAGCTCTAACAATTTTTTTCATTTGTATGTTTTGATCATTTTTCTTATTTAATTCAATATTTTATACTTTTTTCTCAACGTATGTCAGTTGGTTAAATAATAATTTTTATATGTATTTATAATTATATATTTATAACAGAAAATAAATATAAATTAAATAATATATTTATATATTTTTAGCAGGCAAAAAAAGAGATTTAAACGAGACCCAAACATCCCCCATGCATTTCATCAATTCATGCCGCATCATAGTCATTCTCTTCAAAATCAACGACTCTCCCAATAAAGCTGGATTAATTAAATTGTATTTGCATCGGGATTAACATTCACGTGCAATGATAATTCTCTGTATGTATAATTCTCTTTACTTCAATTCTACTTAAAGGAAGTAGTTATTCAGGTCTTTTTAATCGATTCCTCAAGCATTGTTTGTTGTATAATCAATAAGATTATCGCTCATAATATAATCGA